AGAAGCCTGCTTACATATGCAGGAGTGGGAAGGGAGATTCAATGTTGGGATGTCGAATTCTGTTACAACTGCCATTCGTGATAGTGTTCGTGATATGGCCATTGGCAAGACTAAAACAACTGAGAAGGCAGATCGGGCAACGGTTGAGCAGGTATATTGTGGGTTCTTTATTTACTACTGAACAATTTTGGGTAACTAGCACACTTGTTTCTTGCAGGCCAATTTAATGTTTCTAGTTTGCTGATTAAGATATGCTACTTTATACGCCATGGAAATTTTTGTGTTCTGTTGTGGGTCTTGGACTTTCACAGAATCATTCTTCACTGTACAAAGTGCAGTTCCTAATAAAGCTCTGTTCTTTCTTTCAGGCAATCGACCCTAGAACCCGTATGGTTTTATTCAAAATGCTGAATCGGGGTGTGTTTAATGATATCAATGGCTGCATATCAACTGGGAAAGAAGTATATTTTCTCCTCATGCATTTCCTTTCATCTGCTCGATCACTTTGTATAAATATAGCCTAGAACTGAATATTCTTGCATTTATATGTGTCTGCCGAAAGTTCTAAAGCTATTTTTAATCCTGTTTAATTATGAAGGCAGTCCCTTTTGTGTTAATTTTCTCCTTCCAACAGGCCAATGTCTACCATGCTACTAAATCTGATGGTCAGGAACTGGCAATCAAGGTTTACAAAACATCCGTTCTTGTATTCAAGTATGTCTAACTAGCTTTAATTATTACCCATCCATTTATTGTTTCATGTATCTTGTATACAAGCATATTGGCTTGAGTGAGTTCCAGGAGGTTCTGTCTGTCTGTCTGTCTCTCTCTCTCTCTCTCTCTCACATCATTTGAGTTCCTTATTCAACACACAAACTAAGAGCTTACATTTTCTCTGGAGGTTAGAAAACTGATAGTCTGCGAAAAATTTGTTCCAATTTCATCATAATGAGTTTTTTTCCATGAAAGCCCTTACTGTCTCTCGTTTTTCTAGCCTTCAATCGAGAAGATAATATCTATTTGTAGCTATTCTGCATGACTGTTTGCCTATACGATTATGTTATTGAAATTTTAAGAGCGGCCTTATTATTTCAACGCATGACCCTTTTGCCTATGCTTTAAAAGTGGAACTTGGAATTACGGATTTTGACGTTTTTCATCCCAAACCAACAGGGATAGAGACCGTTATGTGCAAGGTGACTACAGGTTCAGATATGGGTATTGCAAGCACAACCCCCGAAAAATGGTTAAGACTTGGGCTGAGAAAGAAATGAGGAATCTTATGAGGTAATCATATCTCTTGAGCCCCTTGATTACTTTTTAGTGCAAATATTCAATGTTCTATTTTTGTGAATCCATGCATAGAACCCAGCTTACATTTTGTACAACCTTTGTGAAGGCTGAGGGCAGCAGGAATTAGGTGTCCAGCTCCACTACTTTTGAGGCTTCATGTTCTGGTCATGGAATTTATAGGTACTACTGTTATATTCATTCAATAGTCATGGTATATATGTTAAGTTGATTTAAGTTGCCCTTAGATGATTATAATTATGGTTAGAAGCAAAATGTCTTTTTGATTTAAGTTTCCCTTAGATGATTATAATTATGGTTAGAAGCAAAATGTCTTTTTTCAACAAAGAAAAGTAGGTTATGTTAATGTCGCATCACTACCGTATGATGCCAGTTTTAGTTTTATGTTAAAAAACAAAGGGAAAAAAAAGAAGAAGAAAAGATTGTCCCGAAAGTTGATTTATATCTGCTTCACAGGCAAGGCAGGTTGGGCAGCACCTCGGCTCAAAGACGCTGATTTGTCTCATGATAAGTTACGTGAAGGTTATGTTGAGGTAAATTTTGACCTCTCAATAGAAAAGGCGGTTAAAAATTTGCTAGGCCTCTAAATATCGAATAAAAAGAGTCATTTCATGTTTTCCTAAAAGTCTTATGGAAAAAGCTGAAGCTGCTCTTTATTCTCTCTATGCCAGATGATTATAGCAATGCGGACATTATATCAGAAGTGCAAACTAGTTCACGGAGATCTCAGTGAATACAACATACTTTACTATGAGGTCAGCTTTCCTTCCCTCCCAGAGGAAGTTTTGAATGTTTATGTAGAACTATAAAGTAAGAAACATTCTACTTGAATTAGATTAATTCATATCAGTAGATCATTTATCAATCATTAATTGAATGATAAATAACTACAAGTGACGGAGATACACGATTTAAATAATGGAAAATCCAATATTTCAAAATAGTATCGAGAATAACCGGAAAAGTGGAAACAAGACCAGATAGAATTTGATCATTATGAACAAATCCAAAATCTTTGTAGACAGAACCAATCATTAGTTCCCAACCATGGGTTTGTCCTTTCTAGTATTGAATTATGACATTCAGAATACAAAATAGTGATATTTTTAAGTGGTTTTGCAGGGTCACTTGTATATAATTGATGTTTCACAATCAGTTGATCTTGACCATCCTCATGCCCTTGATTTCCTTCGAGAGGACTGTATACACGTTTCAGTAAGTATTTTTGTACCTATTTATTATATATCCTTTTATTTTGGCATATATTTTGAAGTAGTTTATGTCAATAAAGCGACTTAGGTTTGTCTTCATTTTCATGAAGGATTTTTTCAAGAAACATGGAGTAGCTGTAATGACAATACGTGAATTATTCGATTTTATTGTGGATCCTACTATTCAAGATGATTCGGTGGACAGTTATCTGGAAGAGGTATGAAAAAAGCCGCATGGAATTTGTCCAACCTTTACGTATTATCCGAATTTTCATCACATTTCAGTTGAAAACAGTGTTATCATTTCTATGAATTTCTTCACAGGTGCAACAAAAAATCTTGGCTAGAGGTGACACGATATCCGTAGAGGAGGAAATCGCAGATTCTGTTTTTGTGCAGGTATGTAAACAGCAATCATTTAATTTAAACCAAGGGTTTGTAGAAAGGAACTTGGTTCAATATGAACCACTTCTTAAAATAAGAACATGAGGCCAAATTCTAATCATTGAAAAGACTAGACATAATTGTCCGTTGTGCATATCTAAATGTGCATTAAAACTGTTGGTCATTAATTGACCTATATAAACATTGTGAATAGAGAAGCATAACTTGAATTTGGCATTATAGTCCTAAGTGTACACCAATATACTTCTACATATGCATTAACAAATATACTTCTACATATGCTTTAACAAATATCTAAATGTGCAATAGTTTTCGATTTGTCAAATAGGTTTTCAAAATAATTTCAATTTGTACTGTTCAATATAAAAAATTTACATATCAGAATGGTATGAGTTTGTTCCTTAGGTTGTAAGGAATAATCTCTTTCTCTCTATATATAGGGACTAACCCATTAATGCTAAAAAAATTCGCTATTGGGATTAATTATGACAATGAACTGTGAAATTTTATACATTTTATCAAACTATTCTATCTTATGATAATAGTTATTGTTATAATTAACTAATTATATGAAGGTTACATAAACATAAAAAATTATATTGTAAAACTTTTTTCTTCAGTTTATTTATTCTAAAATCACTATTATCTTTTTTTTTTGTCTCATTAAATGATTTTTTTTTTTAAAAATAAACTAATTGATTTTAATGGCATAGTCAAACTCCTTAAAACCGTATAAAACAATTGTTATAATAGTAAATTTAATATTTTTTTCAGCTAATTAAATTGATCATGATCCCTCAAAATTACAAAAATTACATTATTCATCACATTTTATGCAATCAATATAGTGATTCATATGCAGCTAAATAGTTTTATATTGTCAATTTTATTATTTTTATTAATGATCAAATTTTAAAATGCAATACTATCTTATACTTTTAATATTATATGCATACATATAACTTATAATACTTTATTTACATCTATGCATGTGCACAAGATCGAATACTAGTATGACGTAATGCATTCTAAATAATTGTGTTATTTGACAAATATGGCATTATTTTAATGGGAGTGAGAATTCAATGGAGGACAAAGAAAATGAAGAGCCAGTGTTTGATTTTAGAATCATTGTATTATTGTTCATTGATTGATGCACATTTACATGTTAGGTGATGCATAGTTAGCGAGATGAAGACATTAATTTCTCTAATCAATTTACATTCATTCGGTTTAAAACCAATGGTTGATTGTGAATAATTTACAAGTTCTCATTTTAAGAATGGTTCCCCTTGGAACCACTCCTCGTTGAAAGAAAATCTCTGATGTTTGAGCAAAAGGAGAGAAAATTTGAGGTTTGTGAAAACTGAATTTTTATGAGAAAATCCTTGAGGTTTCATTTTTGTTACCCTTCGACGTAAAACTATTGAAAAAAAATGTCATTATGAAGAGTAAATCGAATTCCAAGGGATATTTATTCATTCAAATTTACATAATACTTTTACTTCTCTCTCTCTCATAGACCTTCATCCCGAAAACTCTGGACCACGTGAAGAATGCCGAAGAAGATGTGCAGCGGATAATAAGCGGTAAAGACACAGAGGACATGTACTATCAAACTATTACCGGTCTCAAGAAAGCCCTCGCCATCTCCAACTCATCCCAACCTGAAAAGCGGCTGACTCAAGAAAATACCTCTGAAAACGCAAAATCACAGGACTTGCCAGGTGGCGAGTCAGAAACTGAGTCCGAGGGAAGTGATGTGGAAATGAGTGCTTCGGACGAGGACTCGTCATCTGAAAGTGAGAAACAAACACCTGCGGATAAAAAAGCGGCCAGGAAAGAGAACAAGAAGAAGGTGAAAGAGGAAAAGAGGGAGGCCCGGAAAAACAAAGTCCCCAAGGCCGTGAAAAAGANCTCGGTAATTTCAATTTTAAACCTAAGACCCGCTGGTGGGCTCCACAACCCGAACCGTCTTTATATATAGCACTTTTGAACTCAAACCCTAATCCCACAGCCTCCCCACCAGCCGCCTACCATTCTCCTCCACGCATTTTGTCCTTTGAGCCCATCTTTTTTATTTATTTATTTATTTTTTTTGTATGATTTTCTGTTTGATTTATTGGATGGTGAAAATGGTGTGGCAGTGATGATAAGAACTTCTAATCCCAGCTCTATGAGACCCTTCTCTTTGTGAGAGGTTCAGGGAAAATAACGATTTCTCAAGTACATCTGACTATCTGAGCTTCACCACTAATGTTTTTTTTTTTTTCATTTTCAGTTCCAGAAGGCAAGTGCTATAGATGGTTCAACTTGTGCTTATGGAAACTAACTCCAACATCTGAACAAATCATTAAGTGTACAAAGACATCACAGCAGAAAAAATGCACACAACCCTTCACTTAAGTAACTGTTAAATTTTCTTGGCTAAAAGTTTCAAAAATTATGAAAGAAAAGGGGAACAAAATAACCCTTTTACAGCATAAAACAGTCTTATACATACATATGCCCAGAACCACAAAAGAAATGGTCATTTCTTTAGTCTACTATACAGATTTACTGCTTTTGGACTGAAACAATTGCCAGCAGCCAGATAGAATGCCTTCATTTTCCCTGCATTTTAGAATCAAATAACAATCTTTAATCAAGCGCTGATTGTAATAGCTAAAACCAAGATTTTCAACGTACTACTTGTTGTGGTACATCATATGCAGAGAATCTTATAATGGCTAAACCAAGTTTTTCAGCGTCCTATTATCATATGCAGAGAATCTCATAATGTTGAGTCATTGAAGGGGAAAAAAGAACAAGAAGTTCAATAGATAATCACAATAAATGGCGGGAATTTTGCTAAAATATTGTTGTTCATCTTTGTGTCTACAAAATGCCACTTTTGTCCATTACCACAAAAACCACCATAAAGTGAAAACACATGTTAGCAGTCTTAAAGTCTAAAGACTCTAAACTCTAAACAGACTTTTAGTTCTTTACCAGTTAAACAGTCTAAATTCTAGACAGACATATTAGTCGTGATAGTACAAATTCACAACAATTTACTAAGTGTAAACTCATTATCTTCTAATATGAGTATAGGATGATAAAAATACTGTCAATAAACTTACCCCTGAATTACTTACTACAATGACCATGATAGAAAAATAATTACATGTACCTCCAAAAAAAATAAATAAATAAATAAACAAAAAAATAACTAGCAAATTCCCTTGAGATTTCCTCAACAAAACGCCCCTCAATTTACCAAAAAAAAGAAGAAAAAAAAAACATTGAAATACTCTGTCTCTAACCTTTGATAAATCACAACTTGTTATGTTATACAGTGACCACCAATAAAATTGCATTTTTATTTTATCAAATATTATAGTTTTATATTTATATTTTAGATAATGATATTAAATATGCGTACTTGTGAAGATAGCTCAAATTTACAAGAATACCAGTTTCCGGCCGGCATACCTTTGGCTGCCGCCTCCATAGCTCCGGCCGCTATCGCTGCTAATTCGACTGCTCTCACTATCACTGGAGCCAGTAAATTTCTTCTTCCACCAATCCCTCTCAGGCTTGGGCGACATCGAATTACTGCTATCCCCAATCCTCTTAACCTTCCTCGACTGCAAATTAAACGGGAAACCCATTTTCAGAAACAAGCCCCTGTCCTCAAAACCTCTGTGGCGCTTCACCTTCTTCACAAAAACGGCCCGATTTTTAGCCCTATTTTGCAGATGAGGGCCTTCAACATCATCAATTTCCATTTTCTGTCGGTGATGCTCGACCAGATCTTGTAAGGACAGCTCGTACGATGACTCGGGCATGTCTTTCAGCATCTCCATAAGCTCCCTTTGGCCGCTGGCGATGGATTTTCTTCTCGAATTTGGGGATAGGCAGAGGAGGGGTGAGACGGGCTCGGGCTGTTTTTCCATAGCGGCGGCGAACAGACGCCGGAGTCGTCAAGTTCTTGGTGGTTGTTTGGCCTGAATTGCAATATCTCGTCGGAGGAGGACCGATCGATGCAATTGTTGTTGTCTTGGGGCAAACGAGGGATTGCAGCAGACATTTGATCAAGCATGGTTGGTTTTTTTGTTTTTT